TGAAAGTTTCATATTGCATTAGCATGCCTGTTTCTTCTTGGTGAATAATATATATTCTGTGTATCAAAAGACAACTGATATGAAGCACAATTTTTTTCAAGAAATTTTCCGTAAGGCAAAAGTAACTGTTTTCTTATATAATAATTCATTAGTTTCATTATATCTTTATCTACATACAGATTTTGTACTAGAAAATTTGAAAAATTGATTTTAAGCATAAAGTTTTATTGAATATTGCTGCTGTTATATGGGCAAATACATTAGGTCTTGGATATGCCACAAAGAAAGTGTATACGTTAGTTAAGCGAAAATCAACATCGTCTTTCTTATGGATGACGTGATATTTCGTGATCTTTCATCTCTGGTACAAAATGATTATTTTGTAAAAATAATTCTTTTAAAAGAAGATTCCTGGTTAGTAATACTAGGCTTAAGTAGAACTACCTTTGTTTTGATTTTTTTCTTTGAATTTTCATCATATTTTTCTCCTTCAATAAATTCATTATCTTGCTGTTTGCATATTCGATTGAGAAGAATAATCTTCTAATTGTAATTGTCAATTATCTATGTATGCATGAAAAAAAAACAGGAAGTTGAAGAATGTGTTATGATTGTGGCTAGGGGAATGAAGATAGTTTTAAGTCTGTTATTGCATTTTATGTATTTAGATAATATGATTCAACATGTAATAGAAGTCGTCATTTGTGAATGAATTAACACATTCGCACAACGATGTGACCACCAATAGATGATCATCCATAGAAACCAAGAGTGTCACGTCCTCGAAATCGTTAAAAAATTGGCGATTAATCGTGAGCTGAAACGCGATAAATCGAAGATTGTTGTGATGAATCATAGTTTTATGATCGATGATTATGGTTAGTTATATCAATAATACAAATGATTTTGTTTATATAAACTTGTTTCCTACTTTTATACTGAGAAGCTTATATTACTAATTTATAATAATATTTTTATTAAAAAACTGATTGTTTACTTTATTATACATGAATAAAACATGTAATCAACATTTTAAAACATCGATGCAGCATGCAATGCACATAGTTAAATGAAAATATAATCGACAAAGAAAAAAAACAACATTCATATGTTCAAATGGATGTTTAAAACTGAGTTTTTCTCTGAAGTTACTGAGCACATATTCGTTTTTTGTTAATAAATTAAATGTACACAACAGAGTGAAGATTAGAAATTGTAATTAAATAGCAGAACTAACAGAATGAGGATAGAAGAAGTCATGTTATAGAAGAAAGACAAATTTTTCAACTTTTTATTAATCTAGGATTGAATGATTTATCTGAAACTGTATCTAAAAATTGAAAAATTACTTGATCTCAAAACATATTCGAAATTATTTATATTATCAAAAACATCTTTTGATGTAAATGAATGTGAATTCGATGTCTTGTTCGATCATTTTCTAAAATTGTTCAATATCGTTAATGTGATAGTTCCAAGTGAATGTACTGAGTTCAGAGTACTCTTTGATCAAAAGCTTTGATTAATATTAATCCATAAATCAACATAGGAATTTCAGTTCTTTTTTTTTCTTATGAATATGATAAAATGTATCTTACTGGCGTCATATTATAGGCAAAGACAGAATCATATGTTTAACGTAAGATTAAATCAGATTAGAAACTAAATATCATTCAATTAGATGAACAACAATAATGGTTAATTTATTAAAGTTTTTTATAACTAGTTATATAATAATAGGATAAGAAAACAACATCATTTTCTCATGATAATATTCTTTACCATCTATTTCAACAATATATATGTTGTCCGTATCTCAACTTATTTTCATGAATACGTGTTTATCGATCGCGCATAATAGACTAAGTTTTAATAAAAATAGAATTAAAGCAGAGCAGGGTCAAGAAGTTGAAATTTTGAATTTAATATGATGTACCATACAAATTAATATACATAAAATTTGTCGAGAGACTAACAATAGAGACTTCGCTCTTGAATTTTTCTGAAAATCTCCAAAGTTGTTTGAAGTCTACTGTTTTCTCGTCGTTATGCTCTTCATGAGACGCTTTTTTTGTCTAAATCAATCATTTAGAAAAGATGTTGCATTGAAAACCATATAGATTTCGAACGAAAAATTCCTGTTGTCGTAGCCTTTGCTTTCATTTATCAAAACATAAAATACCTCAAGTGATTCTAAACATTGTATTTTGAACTTCAACCTCATGCATGTATGTTAACGTATCCTACGAGGAACAAACAACAGAAACTATAGTCTTGAAGTCTTATGAAGTTCTATAAAGTCTCATTAAGTGTTTGCAATCTCTTGGAGTTCATCGAGCTTTGCTGTTTCTTCTTGAAATTTTATTATAGTATCCTACTGTAAATTAAAATGTAATATTCGAAAATTCAAACAACTTATCCTTGTGCTTTATCTGCATAGGATTGACCAAGAGTGTTGTCTACATTAATAAAAATATAAAAATAAGAAGATATTTTACTATTATTTTATTAAAGATTAGAGAAAGTGACCATGATTATTTATACAAAGTCTATTTCTTTCTAAGCATTAGTTAGAAATTTTCGCGAACTCTTTTTCTAAAACTTTTTTGGTTACCTTGGAAACCATATAAGTAAATCATGTTTCATTTATTTAACCAGTTAAACTATATTCGATGTAATCATATAATCGACGACTAGAGAGTCTTGAGTCTGATCAATATGGCGAATGTGACTTTATATTAAAGCCTTCTTCTGCTGAATAATAAATAACTTCGGATGACTATGAAATCAAGAATGATCGCCAAGCGTTTTTGTGCTTTTGGCATGTGGTGTCACTGTTTGTTTCCATATTTTGTTAAGAGAAAACTTCAGACAATTTTCAAAATCGTTATTGTAATTCATAGTCTTGCCTTTCTCTATATAATATGTAAGAACATGACCATTGTATGTAAAGAGTATAGGAAATAAACCTTTCGGTTCGAAACTATCCTGGCGACCAATAGTCATTAGCAAGCCATATTCATTAATCTAGTTAGTATTAGTTGACTTGTGGCTAACCTGTCTATATTAAATCCATGTCTGATGTTCTGTAATATCATCGTACAATCGTCATAACCTATCAAAATATATCGCAGAATTTTCGCTAGAAATCCTAATCTATTCTTATTTGTGGGTAGCATTAAGTTGATGACCGATCTAACATCGTGTGAATTTTCTCACGTCTAGATAATCTTGGATAATACGTTTCAATATTCTAAAATAGAAAGAAGACTTAGCTGTAATATGATTTTAAGCTCAATATGAATCCTTATGGATAACCGCCCATATCAGCTCATTAGTTATACTCGTAAGCTCGAAACCCTGACGCCTAAATCGACATCCATTATTTACATCTTCTCTTCTTTCATGTAAATGCACCCTCCATCTTGTAGCTATTGGATGTGATAGAATGTTAAGTCACAATGTTGCTGTAAGTTCATCATAAATGGTCTATGCATCTATTCCCAAAATAATCCGAATTTCAATGTAATATTGTTGGACTTCAGTTTCTATAATTTTTAAAATTTGTTTTTGGTTGTAATGGAACTTTATATGAAAGAATATTAGAAGTAAAAGCAAAATATAATTACTATATATATTATGATAGACACAACATGCTATTATTTATTCATACAACAGATTCTTAAAAGTTAACTTTTTTATAAAATCGTCAGCAACGTTGCCAGAACTTTTGCTCAGAGCTAAGTATCTGGAAATAAAACAAATCTCCATCAACATAAGAGAGAGTCCTACGAAAAAGTATTTCGATAAACAAAAACGAACTTATCATAGATAATAAATTGACCTAGAGAGTGTAGATCCGCACTTCGATAACAAATTGAAAAAACAGTAAGTGTATTCATTGAAGAAAATATTATTGCCTAGATTTATTTATATGCAAAAAAGAATAATTTACAAGTGTTATATGTAAAAAGTATGCATGCATTTTTTTTTTTATTGGATTTCGAATATTTTCTTCAAATATAAACTTCAAAATGAATGCAACAACATCTCCAACTTTAACTCATTCTTTAGTTTTTGTTAAATCAGCGAGGAAAGCTTCTGATTCTCATGAAAATGTTATCAAAGAAAATACGCAAGATTATGTGAAACGTATTGTAAACACATCATCTGCCAAAAAAGAAGGAAGAATTATCACCTCAAACAATAATACTTTGTACTATACGTAGTCGATACAAAGGTTTTCGAATGCGTCGTAATTTATTTATTATATTATGTATTGCTATCATTTTGCTTACAATACTTATTGGAGTAATAATTGTATTCTATGCAATTGTCCCAGTCATAGTTCGTTCTACGATTGAAAAAGTTGAATTATCAGTTCGTTCAATTAATATTGAAGATATTGAAAATGATCGTTTCCGTCTACGTGCTGAATCAGAATTATCACGCACTGGATCAATTGTTGCTACAATACTTGCATCACTTTTGGTTAATGTAGACAATATTGGAACTGTAAGAAATGATAAACCAATTTCTATTGATGGTTATCCTGATCTTCCAACTATAGGTGCAGTTGATTCTCCATTTATTGTTTCTGATTTAGAAGTTTTTCATAAATTCTCTGGTTCTCTTATTTTTGAAGCAAATGTTCCATGGCATTTAACAGTAAAAGCATCTATACAACCTATATCGAGTGCTATGCCTATTTATTTTAATATTCCATTTAACAAACAAGTAAAACATAATGCTTTAAATAGTCTTCAAAATGTAAGTATTAAATCAATAAGTCTTGGTTATGTTGAATCTATTAATAATAATACAACTCCACATCCAGGTATAAATGCAATACCATTTTCTGGTGAACTTCAATCAAAATCTTCTGAATCTTATAATGCTCTTTCGACAGTTATACAAAATTTTATTACTAGAAAAACAAGTAAAGTTGAAGCATTATAGCTGGTTCGAATGCAACTTCATATTCTTTACTCGCAGGTGATATGGAAGGTTCTTCATTAAGCGTTCAAATACCTTCATTTGGTGAACAACTTATTTCTTTATTAATATTTAAATCTATGTCACTTGTTCCATCGACTAATAGAAAACAAGTAACACTCTCAGCTTTGATCATTATTCAAATGAATTCACCACTTGGCCATCGATCTCCACTTAATATTCAATCAATGGATATGAATGTTCATCTTTTCTACGAAGAAAATTCTGTTGGTATGCTGGATTTTTCTCAAGTTCCAATGCAAAAACTCAATGAAAATACATATCAAACACAATTTACTGATAAATGTTTAATACTTAGTGATAGAGGTAAAACATAAAAAATTTGCTGAACATTTTATTGATGCTAATGAAATTAATCCAATTAATTTTCGTATTGTTAGTCTTGCTTCTATTAAAGGCTCATTCACACTTGGTTCATTGAGTATTAGTGAAATTATTGTCGATAATAATATAACATTAGTTGGTCTTGCAGGTCTTAATAATGTTCGCCTTCACGATATATCTGTTGATGGTGACGAAGGCACTGCTCTTCAACTTTCTATTAATATGACCATCGGTAACCCTGGTGTAACTGACATTAAACTACAAAACTTTACATTTAATATAGTCGATAGTGATAATGAGACAGTCCTTGGTCAAATACCTATCAATATATTATCTTTACCATCAGGAAACAACATTATGACACTCACTGGGTTAGTTCATTGTTTGTTTTGTTTTACATTAGGAACCTTCCCATAGAAGACGTTTAGATGAAGGCGGGGAAGGAAAGAGGAAGCGAAGAATCCAACATTTCTGGGCATCAAGACTTTTACTATGAGTATTTTCATTTTTTTCATAGAACCTTCTGCGAAATTCTGAAGCTTACAAGGAAGTCTCTTCATCTGTCCTCTTCAGATGTCAATGCTTTCCTTTGTTTGGACATACTACAGACTTTTATAATTAAAATCCTAAAAGGATTTTGGTAACTATTAATATTTGTGTAAGTTATCGGATTCTTTAATATGCCTATTTTCTAGATGTTCAAGGTTTTCGGAAAAATTGTACTTTCAAATTTTGGTCTGAAATATTGTGCATATAGAGAACGTAGTTGAATTAGTTTTTCATTAAAAAAAACTCGAAAGTTTGCAACAAAGTTTCCACAATATGTAAAGTTTTCAAAAAATGGATGTTGTATATACTACTCACGGAAAAGGATCTTATCTTTTAAGTGTCATATATCGAAGAGAATTGGTTGAAAACTTTTGAATTTTTTATGAAAGCTAGTCTAGTTAAGTTGTCTCTATTCGCACATCTTCAGATCAAAATTTGATAGCTCAATCAAATATCAATAGGAACCAACATTCTTTTAGGCTTTTTATTAAAATACTATTTAGTGTCTATAGACAAAATAATAATCATTAAAATCGAAAGGAATATCAAGATTATACTACATGAACAAATAGTTATTTTCTCTAACAATAATATGAACATTAATAGCTTTTCGAGTGCCATTGTTATTGAACTTGATTTTTTGTTTCGACATTTGTCTAATCATTAATATAAAATTTATTGTGTCTTTTTTTGTAGAAATGTTCCAAGGTCACTTAGATTTAGAAGGAAGGAGACTACCGAGAAGGTAAGTTTCACGATATAGGGAGGAGACGAGTCAACTTTTGTTATTGGTATTGATAATCCAAAAAACCAAAGAAAATCGTTTAATTTCACTGAGAAAGACCGAAAATTTTTCAAAATTGGTAGATCACCTTCGTCCGCTCGGAACAATACTGTTCTCTTGATATCCATACATACATTTCTATTTTGGATATATTTAATAAAAAAAAGAAGCAGCATATTTAGACAATTAGATCTTTCTCGAAAGTTTTTTTTGTGTATGGACCGTCTAGACAGAAGTCAATGAAACTGAACAAATCTAGACAGAGAGAAGTTAAGAGGGAATTGATAAAAAAAAATGATTTTTCTTAGACGTCCTTGATGAATAATCTCTTACTCTAAGCAGTTTTCTTCACGCTTATTGTAGTCTGCTTGCTGCATTAAGCGAAAAAGATTTGCCTGCTGTTGGTAAATTATTCTCTGCATATCTTAATATTCAAACACAATCAATAACACTTTTTCATGAACTATCTACTAATGAGCACAATGCTACTGCTATGAATTTAACAATAAGTAGTCTATCAGTGAAATCAAATCTTGATGGTATAGAAGCAAAATTAATTCAACGAATGGAAGTTCTTAATTTTGGTATTGAATTTGATTCAATGATTGTTAATAAAGTTTACATAACTAGTCAATTATCAGTTTTATTTCAATTACTATCTAATGTTCATATGACATTTGAAGAATTATAACAACTAGTATTGATTATATAATGCGTTTAAATAATGGATTTCATATAGATCAAATGATTCTTTATGATACATCTGTTGAACATAATCAAATAACAAATGAACTTTTAATGAAATTTGATAAACAAGAACTGATAGTTATTAATGAAACAGCGGTTTCAAAATTTGCTGCTAATCTTGTTCTAAAAAATAATGTATCAATTATGATTGAAGGTTCAGCTTCAGCACTTGCTAAAGTTATTATAGGAAATATCACTATAACTAATATTTCTGTTAGTGATACTTTTGATCTTATTGGTTATGATCGATTTGATAGTGAACTTTTAACTATTGATGAAATCGATTTAATTAAAACATTATCATCTCATGAACTTTCTCTTAGTGTGAGAGCAAAAGTTAATAATCCTTCTGTGCTTTATATTCTTAATGGTGGTTGTCTTTCACTTGATTTACGTGAAATGACAAGCGGCATATCACTTGGCTTAGTTATCATCGATTCATTTTATCTTGCAACGCAAAGTAATAGTACTTAATTGAATACTGAAGGTAGTTTTGTAATAACGAAATACAGTTCTGCTATAGCTGAACAATTTGTTTCACATATGATTTCTGTCCTAGATCATGACGTAGAATGACGTGGTTTATTACCGAATAATTCAATAGGTACATCTATTACTTTACTTTCAATGGCTATTTCTGATTTACGTATTCATACACGAGTTCTTGGCCTTAAGGCCAAGAGAACACTTGTTCGACAAGTTCAACTTAAAAAAATGAACTGCTTTACAACTAATAGATATTCCAAGCGGTACTATCAGAACACTTAGATCATGTATTCAACTTACAAATCCTTTTAGTGTACCTTTAGTTATAACTTGCATGAACATAAGAGTTGATTTTGGTCCTATTATCGATCCAGATGTACCAGTTGGTACTGTCACTCATAGTTCATGTATTATCATCGGTGCTTAGAAAGATATTATAATACACTATATCGATGTCAAGAGTACAGCTAAATTAAAAACAATGGTTGCGCTTGCGGATCCTCTAGTAGTAGGCTCTTTTTCTTTATCTCTATCAGGTTTTATTAATGTTACGATTGATAAACAATTTAATCTAATTCAACTTCCAATTATATTAGTTAATATATCTACTGCTCAAGAATCCTCGATGTAGTTAATATGATATAATAACGTTATTGTTTTTTTTTGTTGATTTTAATTTGAAAAATAATGTAAAATGAAATATTTTGATTTTGTTTTATTTTTATTTCAAGAAAAGAATTTTTTTAATAAACCATAAAATTAATTAATTACGAAAAATATATCTTTTATTCAGGCATTGAAATACAATGTTGGAAATATACATATATGTATGTTTTCAAATACTTATAGTACGATGAGAAATGAATAATATCAAATCTATTATTCAACTATTATAAATCACACTAAAGAACAATACATATACCATTCAATAGAACCAAATAATACTCTTATTCATCCGCGATTTTTTTTCTTTAATACTTTTATTCGCAATTATTTCAACTATTGATTATATACTTTCATCTACGAAACAAATGTCTATTTCACCTGTTACTTGTTTATTTTCTGAAAAATTACTATTCAATTTCAATATACTTGTGTATCCCTACAACGTGAACGATTGTTTTCCTGGTCGAAATATTGTTATAACTGAAAATGGTTGGATGAAATCTTTATCAAACATAAAAAAATGATGAACGTGTGCTTGTTATGAATAAAGAAAATAAATTAATTTATGAACCTATTGGAGGATTTCTTTATTTGAAACGAAATGGATTATTTGATTTCTTTATTAGTTAAGATACAAATCGATGATCATAAAAATATTACAACATCTTTATTTATATCACCACATCATTTAATATTCTTAGCAAATGATACAGAATTATAATCTGCAATATTTTGCTGGTTAACTTCATGTTGGTGATCGTATAAAATTTTTTATAAAAATCAAATTATATCAGCTAGAATTCAAAATATTTATTTTGCAACACAAGAAGATTATTATGCACGATTAACACTATCAGGTACAATTATAATTTATAAAGTTTTAGTTTCAAATTATGCAAAAGTTAATAATCATCATTTAGCACATTATATTATACAAATATATCGAAGATGAATTTATCTATTTGCATCAAATGAATAATAATGATAATATTCATTGAATATTAAGATTAATTGAAAAAATAGTTCAATGGTATGGAATTGAAAAATTTGATCAAACTTCAATGTTTAATGGTATATTTGAGTTGCTTGATTTTATTTGAATGAATCATGTGATTTTTTTTTTCAATGAACTTTTTAAAAAATATTTTTAATAAAACTTCTATCATTTAAAATATTTCACTTGAAATCAATCATCGTTCACTAAGTACTAAATCACTTAACATAAGTATGGTAAAGTACTTTCTATTGAAAAAATTATTTTCTACAATGAATATTTAGATATAGAAAGATAATATTACCTTTCAATGTCAATTCATGTGAACATATAGTAAATTATTTACCTTTAAAATGAAACATAATTATCTTTGAAGAAAAAATCTCTCAAATGTATTTGATATTATGCAACGAATGGTAATAGCATATTTAATATATTTGTTTTTAGATTTTACTTTCGCTTTATCGAGTTTCTATTGCAATCCACTAAGACATTAATATATAACATGCTGGTTACATGAATTTTGTTGTTTGAAAAACAAGAAAAAAGAGAATCTGTTTTTTTTTGCTTTTTTCTTTTTTTCTTTCTCTGAATGTCTCGTCATATTTTGCCTATCATCGGAATGATGATTATCGTCATTTCAACCGTGCTCAATCTCGGCCGACATGTTACCATCAAAAAAAAACACCCACGTCTTCTCATTGTCAATAGTTGCAAGAACAGAAATATCGAAAAACAAATTATGTTTTTTTCGGTCTAATCTCTACGATGTTCTGATAAAAAAAGAAATCCGTAATTTAATCAATGAATTGTGTAGCTACTATCGCAAGGAAAACCTTCTTAGTTAAACCACGAATACACGCATTTTTGATAGAAGGAAATGATAGTTCATCATTAGAAGAAAACGAGGAAGAAGAAAAAAAAATATAGAGATGAAGAGAAAAAAAAACCCGAGCGACCAAAAAAAAAAGGAAAATAACATGATGCTCATTGTGATAGAAGTAGAATCGAGATAAAGAAACGGGAACAAACATCACCCGTGGAATACAAACGTTTGATCAACAAGCTCGTAAGTTAATGCTCAATAACTATTGTCAGAAAATTAATTGCAAAGAAAATTCTGTATTTGTCAATAGGAAAAAAAATGAACTAGCATTAAAAAACAATGGTGTGTTTCTTTTCTAAATAACGCATGAATAATGTTATCTTTCTAGAGTACTTAACCACTTTCTTTTTCTATTGGCTTACCCTACTTCAATTAACTTCCTTTTTTTCAAAATAAGAGACATCCGGTTGAAAGATACTATTCATTCGAATATATAGAAAAACATAAAGAAATGACTATGTAAATTGTTATTTTTGTTTTGTTCATGGTTGTTTTCGATGATCATATATATAACGTATTTATTTTAGAAAATGGTGGTACATCTTGGTGGTCTTGCGGCCGTTATTTTTTTTTATGTTCTTATCTTACTTGTTGGAATATGGGCTGGACGAAAACAAAAATCAACTGAAAGGTCGCCCGATACAGAAGAGATTATGTTAGCAGGAAGGAACATTGGTTTACTAGTTGGAATATTTACAATGACAGCAACATGGGTTGGTGGTGCATACATTAATGGTACTGCTGAACAAGTTTTTTCTACGGGTCTTCTCGCATGTCAAGCACCATTAGGTTATGCTATTAGTTTAGTTGTTGGTGGATTATTATTTGCACGACCAATGCGTAATGCAGGTTATGTTACAATGCTTGATCCATTTCAACGTAAATATGGTCAACGAATGGGTGGATTATTATTTATACCGGCATTATTAGGAGAAGTATTTTGGTCAGCAGCTATTCTATCAGCACTAGGAGCAACAATTAGTGTTATTTTTACAGATGTTTCAACAGTAGCATCAATAATTATTTCAGGTAAAATATTCAACAAAATAATATTTAAAAAAAAAGCTCGATTTTTTTTAATGTTTAGCAACGGTAGTTATTATTTATACTCTGTTTGGTGGATTGTATTCAGTAGCTTATACTGATGTTGTTCAACTTGGATTTATTTTTGTTGGTCTTTGGGTAACTATTCCATTTGCTATGAAACATGAAGGTGTCGGTAGTATCGTTGCTACATGGCCCGAATGGCGTGGTCACATAGAAAAATCTCAAATAGTTGAATGGATTGATAGTATGTTATTATTAATTTTTGGTGGCATACCATGGCAGGTAAAATATAATATTATTTTTTCTTATGATAATAAAGAAAGAACTCTTCATGCTTAATTTATTAATAATATTTCTTGTGAAAAATAGTGTGAAAATATATATATTGAATTTTGACAACTTTGTTTAGTTAATAATCAGTGTTTATCCTATATTTTTATTTATTTTAGGTCTATTTTCAGCGAGTTCTCTCAGCTAAAACAGCTAAGAAAGCAATGTATCTTTCATTTTATGCTGCTGTTGGTTGTATTGTATTGGCAATGCCGCCTGTACTAATTGGAGCTATTGCTAAATCTACTAGTTCGTCTAGATTTTATATGATATAGTTCAACTGGTATTCATATATCTATTCAATTTCTTTTAGATTGGAATATGACAGATTACGATATAAATAAAGATATAACAGCACCTGAAGCAACGAAATTAATTTTGCCATTAGTTCTTTTACACTTATGCCCAAAATTTATCGCATTTATAGGATTAGGCGCTGTTTCTGCTGCAGTTATGTCAAGTGCTGATTCGAGTGTACTTAGTGCTAGTTCTATGTTTGCTCGAAATGTCTGGAAGCTTGTTTTTCGTGATCAAGTATATGATTTAAGAATGTTGATTATATTTAAAAGAAACTTTTCTTCTATAATTATTTATAATAGGCATCTGAACGAGAAGTTTTACTTGTAATGCGTATTGGAATACTTCTTGTTGGAATAGGAGCTGCTGGAATTGGTATTCTTGTATCTTCAATTTATGTTCTTTGGTATTTATGTTCAGATCTTGTTTATGTCATACTTTTTCCACAATTACTTTGTGTTGTTTATGTTCCACATTCAAATACATATGGTTCATTAGCAGCATATATAACAGGTTTTCTTTTTCGTATTCTTATTGGTGAATCATCATTAGGTATTCCAAAATTTATTAATTTTGGTTCATATATTCCACCGAAAACTTTATGTATGCTTATAAGTCTTGGAACAACATTAATTATTTCTAAAATAGCTAAAAGTCTTTTTGAAAAACGTATTTTACCACCGAAATATGATATATTTCATTGTCTTGTTGATATACCAAATGAAACTTTACCATTAAAAGAAAGTTCAACTACAGATGAATTACATTATAACATTATTAAACCAACAACAGGACAACAATATTTAACTGAACCAACAATGATGATTAATAATTCTTTTTCACAAAGTCAAGAAATTTTAAATTCATATGGAAAAGATTAATTATAATATTAAATGTATGTATTTATATATATAGTGTTATCCCCACCGGTGTATGTTGTTTTATTGTTTGTTCTTTTTTCTTTTCTTCTTTCCTGACACATATCATTAATTTAATAATTTTAAATCAAGGGTAACCAAAGAAACACTTCTGTGGAGGTGCTTTTATAATTTCTTTTTTTTTTTTTTTTCATTTTGTGAGTAGTCAGATGACTAATGATTATAAAGCATACATATCAAAATATTATTTATGTATTTGTAATAACATACATATCAGTTCTCCTTCCACTAAAGAATAAAATACATATCAAAAAATGATTCTTCTGCTTTTATTTATTTTTTTTTTGTTTTGCTTTTGTTTGATGTTGTATTTTCCCTGTCATTTTAAAATAAACTATCCCTTTATTCTTCATCTTATGATTAAAAATTTTATTATTTACAAAACAGAAAATATAACATAAAATAAATTGTTCGCAATTTTTATCAGCGAAATTACAATTATGAAATTTTAAAAAATATATTCTATTGACAATTAATTAGCGATATGAATTCTATTAGAAATTTGATCATCATGAATATTTAACATCCAATCATATATTTTATATGATATATGTAAATTATCTTTTGTACATTGTCGATCAAGTAATGTTTTAAGTAATGATTGTTTTGGTTCATCAATATATTTTATTATCCATCTAAAATATGATAAAGAAAAAAAAATATACAAAACATATTTGAAAAAAAAAAAAAATTATTCACCTTAAAACATCAGTTTCTGATCGGCCGAAATCATTTCTATACCAAAGAAATAATTTTGATAGATGAATTTCATTATTTTCTGGTATAATATCAACTTCTGAATTACAATAAGATGTTGTTGCCAAATTTAAAGCTTTTTCGAGATTAGTTGATGAGTAAATAGTAATTTGTGGACATGAACGTGCACCTCGATTGATCGTAAAATGAATACGTGGATCACAACGACGCATGGAATATTTTGCACGAGGATCATTAAATGTAAAATGACGTTGAGTACAATATGAATGTGGTTTATTACCTATAAAAGAAAAACAAAAATAAATTTAAGAAAATCATTTATATATTTTGAAATTGAACCTCGTAAAATGCCATGTTCAATATCATCTAATGAAAAAATATGTGCACCAATTTTATAGGATGTTGTTTTCCAATATTGATTTAAATCAAGAACAGATTTTGGCATCTCATTTAATAATACAATACCATGAATCGTTAATACATTGTAAAGATCTTAGAAAGATAAAAACAAA